CATATTTTCTTAAGCTACTAATTCGTTTTTATCTTAAATTACTTTAACTACTTACGAAGATACCGATCTATTTCAAAGTTAAGAGTTCGAAAGCCTTATAATTAGTTTCTTTAGCTTAATACTATTAGCAATTATTAGATATTCTAATTAATATTATATTTAGAACGTTAAAGAGATTAAGACTTTTAATACTTAGTAGTTATAAACCTTATAATATTCTTAATAACAAGAAGCTAATTAAAATCCTTTGCGAATCGATTAAAATAAAAAGAAAACTTTTTTTATATAGATTGGATTCGTTTAAGCAGCTAAGAAATCAATAAGAAAGCTTATAGTATGCTATAAAAAGTGCGACCGAGCTTTAAAGTATTCGAAGCTAAAGGCTTTTAAAACGAAAGCATTAGCCGATTATTAAAAAACGGACGTTTGCAAACGCGTCGTAAATGAGCTAAAACAAAAGCTTCGGCAAACTTAATTAAGATTTAAATCTCTTTAACGCGATTTAATACGTTTGTTTTTATTTATAAATTCGATTAATAAATCTAATAAATCTGATTAATAAATCTAATTAATAAATCTGATTAGTAAATCTAATTAGTAAATCTAATTAATAAATCTAATTAGTAAATCGGATTAATAAATTTGATTAATAAATAATAAAACTAATATTAAATAAATACATCTATCACGAGGAACGCTTTTATATTAAGACTTAAAATTAGCATTTCGAAAAAGTGTTTTAAATATTATATTATTTACGCGAAGCTCGTTTCGAATAATTAATAACTCGGATTAAAAATCTCTTTGCGAATTACAAAACTTATATCTTAAGCTTTTTAATGCTTTAATTATTAAGCGAGACTTCGTCGATAAGATTTTAGAAATTGATCGCTATTTATTAGACAATTTATTAGCTAATTTGTCGGTATATCCATATCGACCTTAGCTAGCTAGTAGTAGTAGTTGGGGAAGCTCACCCATGAACCATGGTTCACGGGCCACTTGGCATGCCTCGCTTAGCATGTCAGCAGTCAAGGGACCCTTAACTTGACAAGTAAGCCTATTAGTTAGCTAGTGCACGTGATTCCTTCTAGTCCTATAAAAGGAATCAGCTCCTTTGAATCTTGGGGAGCAGACAGAATTCAGATACCTTATCAACCGAGTGTTTTACAATTGCAAGTACTTTGACGACCGTTACGACCTTACGAATATATATTCCTAATCGCTTAGAAGCAATCTAACACTAATCAGTGGTTGATTTACTATTAAGTGATCAATCACAGAAAAGCTAGGAATACTTTATAGCGAGGATACCTTTTATTACGATACCTCCCTCTTTCTACAACGGAAGAGCGATTCCGTACCAAGTCGCTTCTTATACTACCGATTTTCTCCCATTCTTACGGAAGAGTGATTCCGAACCAAGTCACTTTTATATAACCTTCAAAGCTGTAGAGCCGCGCTTGCTATACACAGCAAACCCAACTAACACGATCGATCTACGTACGAGCAGACAACAATTATGGCCGATCGAGCAACTAGACCTCCAAGTAAAGAGTCTAGCCGATAAAGAGCAGTAAGGTATTATACCCCTCGAGTCTTATCACCACCTACGGAACCCTTAGCTATTTAGCTAAAAGGACCACTATACCCAGGACTTTTAAGCTTCTCGGAAAGACCAGACGACGAGATGTCGGGCATCTTATTTGACTTAAACGAGCTATTATACGCAAGGCTAGACAATGAGATCACGGCTCGAGCGATAGTGAACGACTTCTTGGATGCGAAGTGTAGAAGGCTGAAGGATTACGACTTATAAAGCCTATTCCGGCACGCTTTTTTACGCTAAGATTAGACGAGTTTTACGATGACGAGGGACAATACGAGACGAGGCTTTAAGTTTGCTACTTTTATTAGCCTTAAGGAACACTTGATGTCTAAAGGCGTGTGGTGCCCCCTAAAGCAAAAGGGCTACGCTAATAGGATGGTCAAGCTCTTGAACGACGAGCAGCAATACTAATGGACCCTCTAAGAAATAAAGGAGCAGCAGGCAGTACCTTTAGGCCTCGATTCAAAGTGGACCGCCGAAAACCTTACGGACGACGAGGATAATACGCTTTAACTACCTCCACCACCCTTACGAAGTCCAAAAGGGAAGGAAAAGGAGGTATCAAGGAAGGAGGAGGAAGAGATTCGGAGGTTACGCGAGGAATTTGCGAAGGAGAGGAAGAATATAAAGCAAAATATAGAGGTGATAGCAAGGCAAATGGCGGAGTTACGGACTTACGCTATATAATCTAACGAAGGGCTACGACGAAGCACTTCAGCGTACTCGACGCCTTTAATTCAGCAATCGCTACGCAATACGCCAATCATATAAGAGCTAAAATCACCTTAGCGGCCTTTAAACCCTTTTCTCAAGAGCTACAACCGGGTTTCCTAAAATCTAGGGCCGAGTAGTAATAATAACGGCCCCGAAAACATAATCGGGCTTGATAATACGCAAGGCAATGGCAGCTATACGCTAAAAGAAGACCCGCTAAAACTTAAGAGCATTCCGGATAAAATCAGCTCTCATTAAGGACAGCGTGCAGATTTCCGTGCTCAACTTTAGCAACCCGAAAGGGGGATCTAGCACCCTCGGACGTACCGACAAGCTCTTTAGATCCCTTAACAAGCTACGTATCGACAAGAGAGATATTAAAGGTATAAGGATCGTTAAGAGCGCGCTTAAAGGTACGGATATCACTAAGCTGGAGCCTTAGCCGGTAACCCGATTGGCTTTAGCGATCCTGACGATGACCGACGAAGAGGAAACGGGGGAGATTAGCAAAGAGATCGAGGCTACGGGCACGAAGGAGGTAAGAACGGCCCTTTTGGACTATTAAAAGGATTCGGAAACGGACCCTTAAAGGACCCCGGATTCGGAAATGAGCCTCTTAAAGACCTTAGAAGAGGACGGACCACCGGCAACTATATCAGTAACCCTTTATCGATCAGACCATTAGCTAAGCAAAGCACGCCTGCGTACGGCACTCTAAGCGCCTTTGACGATGATAGAGACGATTTCTTTGAGCTAGGGGCAGCAGACCTTCACTCAAGAGCGAAGGAATTGGCCTTGTTCGCGCGAAGCTTTCCTAAAGAGCTGAAGTATTTAAGACCCGACGATGACTTTAAGACTCAATTAGGAATTTTTGCTAACCAAGCAAGTCGATACGGTTTGACTTCCGAGGACTACTTGGCGGCGTTCCCGATTATGCTTACAAAGGAGGCTATAACCTTTTATTATAATCACGTTATTAAGGCTAGACTTCCGACTTTCAAAGCAAACGCTATTGCAGTGAAGGACCACTTCGAGATTAACCATCGGCGGCAAGCAAAATACGACCGCTAAGAAGAAATTTCGCTAGATTTGATTAAGAAAGAGAATCTAAGGACCTCGCTTAGCGAGTGCTTTAAGAAGCTCGCTAAAGAGCTCAAGGGGATTTAAAGCTTTTTACGACCAGGTTTGAAAGATGATCGAAGTCTTGCTAACAAGTTGTATTCAGCTTGTAAAAACGTGCTAAAGACTACGATTGCACGAATGAACCTTGCCTTTACCTTTACCGCCGCAGTTGCCGACATTCGCAAAGCTATTGCGTTTGCAACTGAGACCTCCCGACCTCTTGCTAAGGCGAGTAGAGCTTACGCGAGCTCTAACGAGCTACACGATCACACCTGCTCTTAGCACAACACCTTAAAGGCTGACTCCGATTTGGACGAAGAATACGAATACTTTATTCAAGACTGCCAATACTTCGGAGGTAAGAAAGCTGCCAAAGCTATTAAGGGTGAGAAAAGGTGTTTTGTTTGCAAAAAGCCAGGTTGCTAAAGCACCAACTACACCCTCGACGAAAGGAAAGCATCTATTGCTAAGTTCCAGGCCTTTAAGGACGCAAAAAAGGTGACGAAAAGCAAATTCTCTTAATACGTAGCATCGATTAAAGGCTTGCTACTTGTATTTATAGAAGAATTCGATCAGTTTATCGCAAGCCTACTAGACGAGCCGCCCGAATCGGGCAGCTACGCTAACATATTAAAAGGTTTTGTAATTACTTACGGCACTTTTAACGCTAACGAGGTATATAAGCAATTGGAGATTCAGACGGCATTCCACGCCCTTACCAGCCAAATCGAGACCCAAAACGTGCCCACGAGCAAAGCAGAGACTTATATAGCTTTTAAGTACTTTGAAAACGTGTTTATAGGCCTCATGATTGACAGCGGAGCAGCCAATTTCTTTACCGTTAGCTTGCCCTAGCTACGAGCACTTTAAAAAAGGTACCCCGAAGTCTAATTGGATACATCTCGAGCAAAGGAAAAGTCCGTCAAATACGAGATTGGCTTTGCCACCTTTATTAAAGCAGTTACCCTGGAAACGCCCTTAAGTTAAGTAGAGTTCTACGTTGTGGAGAGCGACGTACCTTTCTTATTTTCGTTAGCTGATATAAATAAGCATAAAGTGATCTTAGATAACTTGCGGAACGTGCTAGTTTAAAGGAAAAAGGAGATACTAGTAGTAAAGATGTTTAAGCACGTATAGATGCTATTAAGTAAAGAGCACGCTGCTACTTATTATAGCACCGAAGGCGAGACCGTCTACTATCACCTCACGGAAGAACAATTGAAGACTATTTATAAGCGTTTTGGCTACCTTTTAGCAAGTCGATTTGCTGCTGTTTTTAAAAAGGCCGGGCACGAATTTAAACGGGATTTGCTTTATAATATCCAAAAGTTTTGCTACTATTGCTAAGTATTCGAACGCTCTTCGAAGAAGTTTAGTATCAAACTTAAAGATAATACTGACTTTAATGACACGGTATACGTCGATGTGATGCACTTTGACGATAAGAACGTATTGCACGTCGTTTGCGACTCTATTAATTTTCAAGCCGCTATCTTCTTTAAAAGCATATCCGCACAGCATTTACTTGAAGGATTCAGTCGATGTTAGGTCAATACTTACGTCGGACCCTTTACAAACGTAATGCACGATCTCGGAACCAACTTCAATTCAGCAACGTTCCGAGGCTACTTTAAAGGTATTAGCAGCACTCTAAAGCAGATGCTTATAGAAGCCTATTATAGCGTCGGGCTAGTGGAACGCTATTACGTCTTTGTGCGACGCGCTTTTGAGATCGTCATAAAGGAGCTTCTAAAAGCCTTAAAAGAGGACCGGCTTCAAATGGCTATCAAAGCCATCAACGATACAGTTGGACTTAATGGCTTGGTTCTTATACTCCTCGTTTTTAGGACCTTATTAAGGCTGACGGAACAAGATCGACTTGCCGCGTCTACCTAAGAGCGTGCTGCTGCTATTAACAAGGCTATGAGGGAAGTACGAAAATGCTACGCTGCAAGGCAGGTTAAGGACGCGCTTAAGAAAAGGAATGGGCCAATTACGGAGCATACCTTAGACTTCCTTATTGGTTCACGGGTACTCGTGTGGCGGGAAAACTAAGGGTAGAAGGGCCCTTTTCAGCTGCTTGGCAGGCAAGGGCACACGTGCACAGTGGCATGTCCGAGGCCTACGGAATTCAGGTCAACTTTAGTAAAACCTTACTACTTTAAAGTTGAAAAGCTGCCAGAAGAGTTGCAAGTACTTAAGGTAAAGGTGGAAGAAGATCAGAGTGAAGGCGACGAAAGCGAAAAAGAGCTGGAACTACGAAATTCGCTTAAACCTCAACATTCGCTTAATCCACCGAGGTCGCTTAATCTAAGAAGCTCGCCAAGATTAGCAAACGACCCCCTTCAACTTGTCAATTCTTAGAGATTAATAATACCAATAGTCCAGATACTTTATCAGAAGTACGATCTTAGTATCCCGACCGTGCCCGACGAGGAGGAGGGCGATTCTTACGTTCTATTTACCAAGGACTTCGAGGTGCTGGTTACCGATAAGGAACGCCGGGACCATGAGCTCTTAGCTAAGCTACGAGCCGAGGGAATCATCAAGAGCCTTGGGGCATTATTTCAAAAGTTTAAAGCAAAGGAATTGGCTGGATTAATAGCTTAAAGCATCTTCTAAGTGATTCCGAGCACCGATCCACGTGCTAAGGGCGCTAGGATCTTTGGATCTAAGTTTGTTGACGAGATTAAGGGCAAAGGAACACTTACGCTATACGAGAAGTTTCGTATAATGGTCCAAGCTTTCTAAGATAAGGGCAAGACGAGAGTACTTACCGAGTCTCTTACGGTATAGCGAGCGGGCTAAAGACTTTGTTGCGCTTTAGCTCTTTCTTTAATAAAGGACTACGGGTGCTAGGTCTGTAGTAAAGATATCATACAAGCTTATACTCAGTTAAGCACGAAGCTTATACGAATAATCGTCGTGCGACCACTTAAAGAGATCACTTATCGATTCCCTTTCGGCACTTTGTTCCTTATGACTAGCCTTTTATACGGCATCCTCGAGGCAAGAACGCATTAGTATAAGCGTTTTTCAAGGCATTTTACGGACAACCTCGAGATAAGGCAATCGAGCTTTGATTTTTGCCTTTTTGTATTAACTAATAAAGATCAGTTAAGAATAGCTGCTTTATAGACGGACGATGTTCTTATAGTTGTTAATTCAGCTATAAGGGCAAAGGAAGAGAAGGAGCTGGTCAAATCCAAGCTAAAGAGCAAGGAAATAGAGACCTTTACATACGCCGAACCGATGATTTTCAATAGATGCAAGCTATCTTTGGATAAAGACGGGTTCGGGCTGTTAGTTAGGCAGAAAGGGCAAGGTGAGAGGCTTGCCGTAATCAAGCTTGATTTAACCATACGAGCTAAGGAGTACTTGGAGCAACGTACTCGAAGGGCGTATTTAGCTACCATTTGCTACTTAGAAGCATCTTGCGCTTTATCGATGGCTGCCTAGCATCAAGAACTAAAGGACGAAGACTATAAGGCCTTTAATAAAGTGATCTAGTAGCTGATCGATCACCTAATTCGAAGGATCCATTACGTGCCTTTGGACTTAAGGACGGCGAAGCTCTTTGTGTTCGTAAATAAAGCGTTTGCTAATAACGCTGACCTTAGCTTCTAGATCGGTTTCGTGGCTATCCTTAGCAATAAGGCTTACGTAAGTGAAAACGAGTTCATTCTGACGGGTAATATCTTCTATTAAGTGTTATAGAAGTGCAAGAGAGTGACAAGGGTAGTATTAGCTTTTGAGCTATACGCTATGTCTTTAGGTATCGATATAGCCATTGCTATATCGACCACCTTTGCCTAAATCACAGCCTAGCTAAGAATCTTTAATTTCCTCGTAATAGTGTGCACTGACTCTTACTCGCTCTACGAGTGCATAGTAAAGCTGGGAACTACTAAAGAGAAGCGCTTCATGATCGATATTATAGCTATTCGGGAGTCATACGAGAAGCGGGAGCTCTTTAAGGTACGCTAGATCGGAGGCAAATCCAACCTTGCTGACGCCATGATCAAAATCGAGGCTAATTCCTCTTTGCAAAAGCTAGTTTTAACCAATACCTTAAAGATGCAAGTGGACGGATAGGTGGAAAGGCCGCTGTAAGAGAGAGAAGGATAAGATTGTTTTTCCTTTGTTTGATTACCTTCCTTCCTTTTTCGGTCGATATAGTAGTTAGCAAGGCACTGCTTGCCAAAGAGAGAGTTGCCGGTGTCGGTATATCTATATCGACCTTAGCTAGCTAATAATAGTAGTTGGGGAAGCTCACTTATGAACCATGGTTCACGAGCCACTTGGCATGCCTCGCTTAACATGTTAGCAGTCAAGAGACCCTCAACTTGACAAGTAAGCCTATTAGTTAGCTAATGCACGTGATTCCTTTTAGTCCTATAAAAGGAATCAGCTCCCTTGAATCTTGAGGAGCAGACAGAATTCAGATACCTTATCAACCGAGTGTTTTGCAATTGCAAGTACTTTAACGACCGTTACGACCTTACGAATATATATTCCCAATCGCTTGGAAGCAATCCAACATAATTAAAAACTCAATATTTTATTAAATTATTAATCTAGCATTAAGCGCTATTCTTTTATATGCATAATCGGAATTGCAATTATAAAAGATTAGTATATAATTTAGCTTATACTTAAATTTATATACGTTAAGTTTAATTATATAAAAAAAGAATTAGCAAAAATTATTTACGAACGCTTTATTAAATTAAGCTTAATAAAAAAGATAATCGCGATTACAACGGATAACGCATCTTCGAATAATATAATAATAAAAGAGTTGCTTAAATGCGTCGAAGATGCGTTTAAGAAAAAGCTTTTTATAAGCTAAAAGATTTTATACGTTTCGTATATAACTTACGTCTTATAATTATCTCTTAAAGCGTTGCTCGGACCGCGATTATCGCTAACGAACGAAAGCTTAAAAAAGCATTAAGAAGAAGATTCTAATATAAACGAGCTAAAAGAAGCAAGAAAACGCGATAAACGAAAGATTGCATATATACTTGCGATTGTAAGTTTTTTTTTTTTAAAAATATATTTATTAATTATATTTATTAATTATTAATCAACGTATTTAAGTTCGAAAGTTTATCAAGTGTATTACGGCTAGCTAACTTGGAAAATCGCGATTTAATAAAACGATAAAAGCTTTTATCGACGATTTAAAGCATCTTTTAACGAAAAGCTTAAAGCTTGTTTTAAATATTATTATAAAATAAGATTTTATATTTCATATGCTTAATCGATTTATAACTTTTAAAGATGTTATTTAAAAACATTATATAAAGATCGATAAGATAAGTATTTTTAAATTATTTAATACTTAATAAAAGCAAATCTTATAGCTAATCGATATCCTTCGACCGTTTCACTTTTTAATTATGCATTTAAATAAAAAGCTTAATCTTATTATTTAATACGGATTTTTAATATTCGATAAAATATTCGAACTTTTAAATAAAGCATAAGCACGATTAAAGTCTAAATATATAAAGATTTCGAAAAAAGATCGCAATAATTTTGAATAGATCTTGCAATTAAAAGAAAGCGTTATTAATGCTATCGAGAAATTAAATAAGTATTATAAGAAAACGCAAAAGCTATTAAAAAATATTTTTATTTTCGCGATAATCTTATATTTTGCTATTAAGCTAAAGACTTTCGACTTAAATTTTTCTTAGCTTTACGAAAGAAAAAATTAATTTATAATATATCGAGCGAGATTCGAAAAGCTTTTTAATAAACATTATAAGTCTTTAATATCTATAGCTCAACGTATTAATAATATTAAAGCAATCGATCGTTAACCGATAGCCGCTTTATTACTTTGCGGCAAATTAATATTAAGTTCTTTTTTATAAGCTTTTTTCGAAGATATAAATCACGAGTCGTCGGAAATGCATAATTATCTTTTAACTCGTAAGTTTAAAATTTTAATTTAAAACTTTAATTTTATTAATTTTTATTAATTGAGTTTAACGGTCGACGGACGAGAGATTTTAACTTCTTAGCGAAACCTTAAGCTTCGGTATATTAATCTAGCTTGAATAGCTAAAGATTTTCTATATATTTTTTTAATTAGTGTTTGCGTAAAAAAGGTATTTAATATTATAAGAAATATTTGCGATTATCGTCGCGATAATTTATCGCTATTAACAATCGCAAAAGAAATAATTACTTTATATTTCAAGATATGTAATACTCGCTTAGATAAAGCTCGACACTTATTCGAATCGATTTTAATAAATTATAATGATTTAAATAAAGATCAGCTTAAAGAAAAATTCGAATAAGAAGTATAAAAGTTTTAAAAATAGCAAAATTATTAATTTCAAAGCTTATTTTATTTTAAATATATCTTTGCTTGCGATAATCTTGCGATCGATTAAGACTTTCGAACAATAAGTTTTAAGTAACGAGAAGCTAAGTTAATAATATTGAAAGCTAAAGTGCGAGAATTACGTAAGTTTAAATAATATTAATTTTATAAATATTTATTAATTATATTAAATAAAAGAGAACTTAAATAAGTTTTAAAATATTAATAAAAATGTTTCGTTTAAAATACGATAGCTACGGTACGGAAAGTCTTTAAATTACAAAAGGCATTTAAAAAGTAAGTTAATTTACTTGCGATATTTTTACTTTTTATCGATTTACTAATCGATTTACTAATCGATTTATTAATCGATTTACTAACTATTATATAAGATTATATAAAGCGCATTTTTCCGCTTCTTAAAGCAAAATCGTAGCAAATCGATTATATTTTTTATAAAGAAAACCAAGCAAAGTAAATCAATCGAAAGTAGCTACGGATTTACTTTTCGATAAGCAAACTTAAGATGATATAAATTAAAACGTTCTTAATAATATAAAAAACGAAAACGATTTAGAAAATTCAGATTCGAACGGTACGAACGAATCGACTAGCTTTAAACGCTATATAAATTACAAAAATAAAGTGCAACGAAGTACGATATTATATAATATACGCTTTTATTTAAATATAAATTCTAACTTAAATATTAGCGATAGCAAATTTATGCGATCAAAACGATTCGAATAATATTTCTTAATAAAATTATTTTAACGCGAAAGAAATATCAAGCCTTAAGCAAAGTAATAAAAGGATAATAAATAAAAAGGAAGCTAATAGAATACCGGACTCGGATTCGCTATTTTATAGAACCTTAAATGCCGCTTAAACTCCGAAACTTAATATTTCGAAACTTAAAATTCTTTTAGTCGTTATTCAAAGTTAAAATAAGTCAATTATTATATATAAGTTTAACGACCTTAAATCTAATTATCTAATACTTTTATAAGCGAACGAATTATAAATCTATTATCAACTTTAAAGCGCAAACGAATAAAAGAAAAAGAAGATGATAAAGCGGGATTGGTATAAAATAAAAAGAAAAAAGCTTTTTTTAAAATCAAGCGTTTAATTATAAAGAGTATCGCTCTTACTAGGTTTTATAATTAGCGACTTTGATTTTATTTATTAAATTGCTTTTTTTGTATCATTAAGTTTTTGTATTTACTTGTTTATAATTAATTGCAATGATTAATTGAATTCTTTT